CTGCCATGTAGCAGAGTCTTCAATTTCCACTGTGTAACAGAGCCTACAGTTTCCATTGCACAAGTCTGTTGGGGCTTTGAAAGTGTCTGGGATGTACTGAGAGTCATAGTTTGGGCAGCCTAGAGCTACCCTGGCTTTGACTTTGGGGGTTGTGCCTGATTCGTGGCTGCCTAAATGTAATATTTGATTTTTATAGTGAAGTGAGAGCCACCCTCTTCCTTTGTGCTGGTATCTAGGTACATACAGAGCAATGTTACTGTACACACATGTACACTTGAATACGTTTTTAAAAAAATGTTTAGTCTCCAGAAGAAAGAATGGGGGAAAATATATGTAGATCTAAGAGAAGGCTGAGTCTGAATAGTACAGATTTGATTGAGAGGTAAATGGTTAAGGGTGAACTGGGTATGATGACCAGAGGCGAATAGTGCTTAAGATGTTAAGATAAAACATTAAGGCCTACTCCTTACTGTCTTGCCTAGAAACAATGAAGCAATTTTAGCTGTTCCCCAGTCCCCGGGCTATATAATATTGAGGATGTTTGGGATGTCCAACTGAGTCAGTCAGAGCATACCTGATACTGTCCTTCATGCACAAAGATGACCAAAGCTTTTCTGCAGATAACCCCACTTTTCCAGTTGTCTATGAACTGAATCACCTGATCTCTTACCTGATCATGCTTGTGATCATTGGTGTATTGTTAATTTATTTAGTGTTTTCTGTCCCTATAATAAACCTTGTTTACCAGACATCAGCCCATGTTGGGCATCAAACCTGTCCTTGGCCTTCCTTGCACTATTCTTTAGTCAGTTGAATACACTACAGAATTCAAGGGTATAATGATAGAGTATAAGGATTCAGTTTTGTATGCACAGTATTATTAAAATTGTATTTTTATGGTATATATGTGGGGAAAGACTGTCAGAAAATACTTAAAAAACTTAGGATTGTACATGATTTATTTTCTATTTTATAAAATATTCTTACTGACTTTTCAGTATATAAACTAAAATGATGTAGATGATATAGTACATTTATGGATTTCTTACAAACAACCACAGTAGATGGTCCAGTCTAAAATATGCCCCAAAAAAAAGGATTTTTTTTTCAAAGTGTTAGAAAGACAATGAATCTAAGAGGTACTGTGAGAAATCATTGCATAATGGAAAAAAAATTGGTTTTAGCTTTCCCCAGAGGCACTGATCTCTTATAACAATTCCATATAGCAAGCTGTTCACTAGTTTGAAAAGCATTCCTATCAGATATTTTATGTTGAATGTAACCAACAGATACACACTCACACGTATGCACATAGCTAATAAATCATAAGGTTTAATAATTGTGGATATGTATTAGGAAATTTGGGAAAGGACAATTTATTTCACCAGCTGAAATAAATATTAAAATTTTACTTTATGATTGAATTTTGAGTTTCAGATTAAAATGCTATAACTGAAAAGTCTTCTTCTTTCAAAGGCAGAAGAGGAGAGAAACTATCATATCTTCTACCAGCTTTGTGCCTCGGCAAAGTTACCCGAATTTAAAATGCTGCGATTAGGTATGAATATGGCATTAGATTTTTTTGTGCTGGTGTCATTTTATAATAATTTCTGAGTTCATAAATTTACTTGTTAAAAAGGAGATTATCTCCCACTGGGATATTTATGGATGAAATGATAAAAGGTCTGCAGTTGGCTTTAAGATAACTCATGGGACAGGGAAGGGGTGAGTGGCTGTATAAATGGAACAGGATTGGCCTTGAGTCGATGCTCGTTTAAGATGAGTGATGAGTACGCAGGAGCTCTTTATACTAGTCTCTACACTTTTGTGTATGTTTGAAATTTGCCTTGATTAAAAGTAAAAAATTGAAGGGAGTTTATGTGGTATAACCCTATGAGGTTTCTGATGAAGGGAGTAAAGTGTTTGAAGACATTCTCCTAGCACGTAGGTTGGAATCAGACCTTTAGGAAAAGACTATTCATTCCACAAACTAAGATAAATAAGCTACAAATACTTCACTCCATTATTTAATTTTGAGTTTTGTATTAAAACTGAAAACACAGGCAGTCAGATGCTAGACTGTGTACACTTGATTGTGTTGTTGCCGCCTCTGATTCTAAGTGGACATAAAGGTGGAGGTCAGAGCCTCTTCACAGACTGCAGATCTTTTTTATGTTCCTTAACTGCAGGAGATGCAAATAACTTTCATTACACAATGCAAGGTGGCAGCCCTGTGATTGAAGGAGTTGACGATGCCAAGGAGATGACACAAACCAGGCAGGCCTGCACTTTACTAGGTAATGTAATCTCGAGCCCTTTGTTGGCATAGTTTTGTATCAAGTGGTGAGAATTGTTGGGAGATTTAACATTCATTCTGAAATACATTTGGACGACATATGGGCACAAGGTTTCTTTTTGGGGTGATAGGAGCTGTACTAAAATTAGCTTATGGTAGTGGTTGCACAGCTTTGTAAAATGGATGAATTCTGTGGTATACAAATTATTTCTCAATAAAGCTATTTAAAATATTCAGGGCATCAGGGGAGGTGGGACTGTTTGTTTAAATTTTTACAAAATCTGAAACCTAGAGCTAAATGAAATGGGTTCCTGTACAAAAACTCATGTTTTGTAGGGTTTTTTTATTTTGGGTGTCTTCTTGTGGTCTGGAAATGTGGTTGACCTGGTTTGGTGACAAAGCAATGTATTACATGTAGTTTATTCTGTTGTTGAAATGGCTCAGATGTCACTGTCTTGTTTCTGGGTTTAAAAAAAAATTGGATCTACATATAAATAAATTGACCTTTAGAAATGTGAAGTGCAACTTTTAGTGCTGAATTATTTATTCAGAAGCCTCTGAATATGAAAAACTCTAAAGTCATATATTGGTATTTTAAGGAGCACTCTGAGGTGAGTTATTTTAATTTAAAAGCATTGCTTATCAGAGTGTGGTCCAGGACCGCTGTGGAGCTTGCGAAATTCTAAAATCTCAGACTCTATCTTGAACCTACCAAATCAGAATCTGCATTTTGACAAGTTCCGTTGGTGATTCGTGTGCACATTATCATTTGGAAAACACTGCTTTACTACAAGGACTAATTCTGTAAATAGAAAATTACAAATGTGAAAAAAAAAGAAGGCCCATAACACAGGAGATGGCAAAACATTTCTTATGAGATCAACTCTCAGTTATTCTGTATATGATTATATATTTGGGAATAATTTAACTATTTTTATTTGAATATAATTACATCTAATATTCTGGGAAAATCTTACCTTATTGAAAAATGAAGCCTGGTCTGATAGAACGCCAAGGGCTGCCAGCTTTCTCATCCCACCTGATCCTTCAGGTCCTGCCCTAACGCTGCGTTTGGACACTCGCTCATCAGGCTGGGGTACAGCACCAGCCTGAACACTTCTAATCCTGGGATCTCTTTGACTTACACTTGATCTGAAGTTAGAAAAGATAATTAAGTAATTTGTCTTAAAATAGCTTTATTGGGCTGCAGCTTGCATTTGGAGCAGAGATAAATAGAAAAGGCAATAATGTTAATAAAATACTTAAATCCAGTGTGTGACAATGATGACTATAATTTGTTTAGCACTTACCATGTGTCACACAGTGTGTTAAGCTTACTGTGTGCATTTTCTCATTTAATGTTCACAAACACCCTTTGAGATAGTCCCTACTATTCCTGCATTTCAAATGAGAAAACAGAAGGATAGAGGGTGAAGTTACCTGTGCAGGTGAGGTGGCAGGTCAGGAGCAGAGCCAATGTCTGTCTCAGTCCACAGCTCACACTCTCAGCCACAGTGCTAAACTGCATTGTGTGAAATGTTAACTCTGACACGTTATGATGTGTACAACACCTGGCAATATTCAAGAGTTAAAAATGGGCTTAAAGTTGTCTGCTATAATTGTTTAGTTCCTGTTCTGAAATTAATCATTTGTTCACTTACTCTGTGTTTCAGGAATTAGTGAATCTTATCAGATGGGAATTTTCCGAATACTTGCTGGCATCCTTCACTTAGGCAATGTTGGATTTACATCTCGGGACTCAGACAGCTGCACAATACCTGTAAGCTCAGAACAAGCTTTTTAGTTTTGTTGATTCTTTATGGAAACAGTGCATTTGAAGTCACTCTATTAACTAACATTAATAATTATCAGAGAGAGAATTATCAGACAGATACACTATCCAGAGTAGAATCTTGAATTGTAAATAAAGAAGTGTGGATTCAGATCTCTGGTGCACAGTGATTGTGTGTGTGTGTGTGTGTGTGTGTGTGTGTGAGAGAGAGAGTGAAGGAGGAGGAAAGAACTTGGATACATACCTGATCCATATAAACAGAGATGGGAAATATTAGATATGAAAGTTGGATTGGTGAGTCTGGAGAGAGGGCTAGTTTGGCTCATGGCACACCCACCAAGAATTGGTAACTCTATTTGTGTCTTCAGCTATGGAAATAATAATACGATTTAAAAGTTCCTGAAGAAGCCATTAGCAGTGGTTACTCCTGGGAAGAGGAGTTAGATGGCTTGGGAAGTAGGGTGATTCATGTATTCTTCTTTCTACACATAGTGATAACTGCACACTGAGAACTAAAACCCAGTTCATTTGTTTTAACTATAATAAAACCTGACAGTCTCAGATTGTTCTCATTGGGCATTTGTGACTTGTGATATTTTCTGGTCACCACCATCAAAGATAAGACACACATACACATATATTTATTAGGCATTTTTAGACTTTTTTTAAAATGGAAGAAGTTGCAATATAATTCTTTTCCATCCTGCTTCCTCAAGGATTATAATAGGAAGCAGTCTTGAGATTTATGTTTCACTCTTCAGACACCCAAGTTGATATTTGCAAATCTACATGTAGATTAATTCATGTGACTTAAATCTGGATAAATTAGACTTCAGTTTTGAAATATATGTGTCATGGTCTCTGCCTGGGTTCAATCCCAACTTTACTGTTTACTCACTCTATGTTTTGGGGTGAGTTCCTTAGCTTCTCTGAACCTTGTTTTCCTCATCTACAAAATGAAAGAGACTTCCTTTCCCAGCATTTTTGGACTGGTTGGTCTGATTGAGCTTCATGCTGGATAAATTATATTTTAAAGACTATTTAAAATAAATACGTAAGAACTTCTTAGAGGCCAAATACTAAGTGAAAACAGAAACTCAGAGAACAAAGCAGAACCCTGAAGCTGGGACTCACCTCAAGGGCATTTGCTGAACCCAGTGACCTTGAGCTTTGATTTTCATAGCCAAGTAGGTGCAGAAGACAAAAGATAAAGCCTAGGACTCATATAAACAGAGGAACAAAAAGAAAAACTTCTGCCTAAAGCTGAGACCCTAAATGGGGAACCAGTAATAAACTTGCTCACTGCCTACTCCTAGAGTACGAGGAAAAGTTAATCTGGCTCAAGTCCCCATGCTAAGCGGAAGAGGAAAAAAATAGTTCCTTAAAAATTTATGACAATAACTGACCCCTCACACGAACTTCCCAGCCTGATTTCGTAGTTCCTGGATGGTCCCCAAAAACTACACACAGGAAACTTAGCTTAAGTTGTTCCTGGGCTGGTGGTGCCCCGGCTGCCTGACAGAAGCAAATGCCATCTTCCTTGGAGGGTCCATCTTCAATCCAGGTCTCAGCAGGGTCCCATAAGGAAAGTTACAGGAAGTATTGGCTCACAGTCAAAAATCTCAAATCCCATGATGAAAGAAACAACAGAAGAAAGAGCTAGGTGAAACAACAGAGTCAAAGCTGCTAAGAATGCTGAAAGAAATTAATAGCTGATTTGACACAACTGAGGAGGGAATTGATGAGCTGAAAGTTAGAAGTGAAGAAATTATCCAAAGTGCAAGATGGGACCCAGAGATGGAGCACTTCACAATAGTTAAGAGATGAAGGGTGGAGTAATAAAATCTGGTTTTAATCTAATGAGAATTCCTAAGGGGAGAAAAAGGAGAATGAAGCAGCGTGATGTTTGAAGAGATAATTACTAACAAATTTCAGAACTTGTGAAAATGACACTACACCACAAATTTGTAAAGTAAAAAAAAAAATCCCAGTTAGAATAAATAAAAAGAAATCCACCCTCAGGCACACCATGGTGCACACCACAGGCAGAGAGAAAAATCTCAAAACAAGCAGAGATGAGAGATACTACTCTTGGAAAGATAGCAACTAAACTGATAGCTCACTTCCCAGCTGCAGTAATAGGAGCTGGAAAACAGGGGGCTGTCTTCAGTGTTTGAGAGTAAATTACCATTAACTTAGAATTGTCTATTCAGTAAAAATGTCTCTCTAGAATGAGGGAAAAATAGAAGTGTTTTTCAAACAGACACTTGTGAGAATTTGTCACCCATAGGCTTTCACTAAAGGTAATATTAAAAGACATAGTTTAAGCAGAGGAAAAGTGATTCAAGGTTTGAGGTCTAAAATTCGAGAAGAAATGGTGAATCAATAAACTAGTCAAGTATTGGGCAAATGTGGGTAAAATTTAATTAATTACAAAGGGAGAGGTAGTGGAGAAACCTGGCAGACATTCCCTTAACCAAGTGACCCCAGTTGCCAGGACCCATCATCATCCTGTGAATTCTGATGTGGTGCACTGAGGGGAGTGCTCATTGCTCTCCAGTATTCCTGCCAAAAGCACATGACCTGAATCTAGACGTGAGGCAATGAATGTCATACAGACCCAAACTGAAGGACATACTACTATTCTAAAATGTCAAGCTCGCCGAAAAAAAAAAAAAAAAAAGTGGAGAGCTGTTCAAATTAAAGGAGATTAATGAAACAAGAAAACAAAATCTAATGTATAAACTTAGATTGGATCCTGGATCATAGAAATCTGTCCTCCCCCCTCCCCCCCACAGAGGATATTATTAGGTCAACTAGCAAAATTTGAATTAGATCTGCCAGTTTGATAATAGTGTTTTATCATTGCTAATTTCCTGATTTTATTCATTATACTATATAAGATAATGTCTCTGGTTTTTAGGAAATGCACAGTGGAATATTTAGGACCAAAAGGGCATCATGTTTGCAGCATGTTCTCAAACAGTTCTGAAAAAATAATATGTATGTGTATGTGTGTGAAAGAGTGAGAGAGAAAGAGAATGAAACTAGCAAACTTTGTAAAATGTTAATATTTAGGGAATCTGGGTGAAGGGAATTCTTTATACTCTTTTTGCAACTTTTAATGTTGGTCTAAAATTAGTTCAAAATAAAAAGTTTTTAAAAAATACAGTGAATCACCAGCCCCTCCTCCCTCCAAAAAAGATAGAATTAAAGTGTTGGATAACAGAGCTTACAGATTGGGATGGAGTGTTTCAAGTTAGTGTTATTTATTACATTAAGTTAACTAATGTAACTTAATATTTCTATCATAAAACAGAAACAGAAAGTAAACCTTTCAAATTAGTAGAGAGGAAAGTGAACTGAAAAAAATAATCCAAATATAGCAAAAATGGGAGAGAAAAATTTAGGAAAGATGGGAAAAATATAGCCACCAAATAAGGTAGAAATAAATAATTACAAATGGACCAATGTTTCAGTTAATATGGATTGTTAGATTGGATTTAGAATTCACATGTATACTGTTGAAAGAAGCATTGCTAAAACATAGAGGTACAGAAAGTTTAAAAATAAAAGGTTTAGAAAAGACACACTGTGGTAGCTAGAAAAAAAAACTGGCAGAGCTATATTGATACCAGACAAGACAGACTTTGAGGCCAAAAGCAGTACTGGAGATGGAGCACTATGTATTGATAGAGATGTTATTCACCAGGAAGATGTAACATTTCTAAATTTACATGTGCTTAATAATGTAGCCTCAAAATATATAAAGCAGAAATCAATGGGAACCACAAGGAAAAAAAGACAAATCTAGCACAGTGGGATATTACTGATTTCTCTCAATTATTGATAGGTAAAAAAGTCCAAAAATCAATGAAGTTTTAGAAAATTTGAA